TGTGATTTGCATGGAAGGGGGCGTGGCTTCCCGAGGGGCGGCAACCTCCCCGGCTCCTGGGACCTCGCTGGGAGACTCCGGCGCGAAACCGGATCCCGCACACGCCGTGCGAGCCCCTGATTTTACGAGCGATCTAGGGGAGTCTTGTTCCTCCACTTGAGTCGTGTTTTTCTCTCTTTAGACTGCCAGGCGGCCTCCAGTATGGCTTGTAAAGAGAGACTTCCTTGGTGCCCAATCTAAAATCGCGATTTTTGCCCACCTGCTGAGTGAGATAGCATTTCGTTGTGATTCGCGTCTCTCTAGCACTGGCATCTCTCTCCTTGTGTGCACCCCCTGCTCATACCTTTGGTTTATTTTTCCCCTTGGGAGACAACATCATTAACTCAGAAATCCTAAATTCCTATTTAATTTCCCCCTTCAAGTTTGGGCTTTTAGTATCATGTTTAAAGTCTCCTCCTACCCTGTGTGGCTCGGTCGGTCGGGGTTTCGTCCGGTGCACCGAAGGTCACGGGTTCTTCCCCGTGGAGGCCCTTGCTTGCAGGGAGGGGCTGATCGTTGTGTCTCTCTCACACCCGTGTTTCTCTCTCTCTCTCTCTCTCTCTCTCTCTCTCTCTTTCTCTCTCTCTCTCTCTCCACTCCCCCATAAAATAAATGAAAAATAAAAACTCTCCTCCTCCCACGCCCCGGTGGCAGATTCTCTATTAGCTTTCCGGTTTTCCCTTCCACATGTAGGTAGGTCTGTTCGTAGGCTTCCTTACTTATTTTTGAGCCAATTTTCCCATCACAAGCTGTTAACTCTTATTTCACCAAGGAAATGGAGGCCCCGTGAGAGGGAGCAACTTGTCTAGAACCGCAGGGAGGCTGAGCGACGCGAACCAGGCGGCTCACCTGGACTAGGCAGGTGCGACTCGGTGCAGGAGCCCTACGCGTGCCTCTGCTGCCATCTACAGGCCACCCGCGGGACTGCAGGTGCCGGGGCCCCTGTCCTACCCACAGGTGTGTCTGAGCTGCTCTCAGGTTTCGGGATTAGGGACCAGCGACCGCCAACCGCCGACCGTGCCCCGCGCCTCAACACACAGACGCACGTGGACCAGGCTCTTCAGAGCAGGGGGGACCCGCTGTGTGCAGACATTGAACTGAAGGCCCTTTGAGGCTGACGGAGCCTCCTAAGGTGACCTTCACGCCAGCAGGGTCCGAGA